TGTCTTTCTCTTTTATCATCACAGCGTGCTTTGTATGAATTCATTATTATGTACATGACAGTATTACCGAGAGGTCCCATTGTACTGGGTCCCGGACACACACATGGCCAAAGACAGGCAATCCAACTACACAAGCCAGGCAAAGGAAGTATTATTATCCATCGTTTACAGATGGGAAACTGAGGCACAGAGCGAGCAAGTAACTTATTTGATTCCATGCTGGGGGCAAGGGGCAGGGAGAGACCTGGCAGTTGCAAATGTGCTCTCTAGGCATTTGATAAAAGTACAGTGGAGCAAAATCCAGAGCTAGACACTGGACGTGACAATTTGATTTGAAAGCAAACAAACAAGACCAAGCCAACTATCCAGTCTCTGCTGAAATGTGGTCTCTGATTGCCAGAGTAACAGCTGAGGATGAGAACCTGCAGAAAGCAGCTAATCTTTATTAGCACAGGGTGGCCGGAGCAGCATCTTCTCAGCCCCTATCACCGATTCAGGGGGGAGCTCTCAGTCCTAGGTGGGATTTTGTTTAAAGACATCAGGGTGACGATCCCTTAAAAAGCTACAGAGGAATATGTTACAAAGGATACCGGAAGGACATTGAGGGACTGAGAAATCTAAGAGAAGGGCCAGAGATGTTTTATACTGACCATACATGAATAGTGACATTGAGGAAGTTGTCAAAGGCAAGTGAAAGTGACCATGCTGATGGCACAGGAAAAAAAATTGTCCCCTGGAGCAAAACAGGCATAGATTTGCTAACGTTGACTGGGGAAAAAATGATGTACTTGTTCTAAACCATTATTCTCATTTCCCCTAGAGAGCCTTATTAGCAGATACTACAGCCAAACAGGTGATTGTGCATGTCAGATCTATTTTTGCTAGATGTTGTGTGCCTGACAAAGTGATGGCTGACGATGGGCTGCAGTGTAGCGGGCATGTGTTTAAGCAGCTTGCCGTGAAGTTTGGGTTTCCACGTCGCCGCAAGTCGCCATTGTCCCCAGGCCCATGGGCTGGTGGAAAACGGTGTTAAAATAAGAAAGCGGCTACAGGAAAAGGCTCCAGCGTCAGACCGATCTGTACTCAGCCGTGTTAAATTACAGGGCGGCACCAGTGAAACGTGGTTTGTCACCTTTAGACACTTTGTTTAATAGAAAACTTGAGAATGACGATGCCTGTAATGCGGGAAGCTGATGGTCAGAGGAATTGTGCAGACACAGACAGAGACAGACAATACAATTTGGGGTCCCGGGACCTGCCACCACTCCATGAGCGTGACGCAGTGTGCGTCGGCCAGGAATCAATGGTCGCAAACAACAGTGGGGTCACAAGAGTCAGATGAGGCGGACACGCCCTGAGAATATTGAGACTACAAATAATAATAATGAAGGCAGAGAGATTTTTTTGGTTCTATGCAAAGGTCGGTTTGTTCCTCTTTCCACACGGAGCAGCTGGTCTCTGATAAGCCAGGGGTGACTGGCCTTGCCTGCTCTCGTCAGAATGCACCGGCCCATGGAGTCGCTCACCTGTTATCGCAGGAGAAGCCGCTAGATGGCCTAGGAGCAGAGCCAGCAGTGAAAATGGACAGGGCCAGTCTTAGGGAAAATCGTGCTCTGGGCAAACTTGCATTTTGGTGCCCCTGGCCTCTGCTATCTCCCCAGACTCCCTCTCCCCCCCCCCCCGGATCGCCTAGGCCCCTGTTGCCTCTCTGGGCTCCCCACTCATCTTCCCTGGGCCCCGATGACTCCCCTCCCCCATTATCCTAACCTCCCTTTTGCAGCCTTGCCCCCCCAGGCCCGCCCTGCTCCTTGCCTCTTGACCACGGTGCCTCCCCAACCCTGGCGCCCTGGGTGGTCGCCCACCCATAAGGCTGGCCCTGAAAACAGGTCCCTGTCCTACAAACACTTATGGCTCTGCTCTGCAGTTGGATCCACTAGCCACCAGGGTTGTGCCTGGGCACAGAGGCGGCAAGTCTAAGCCACACACTTGCATTGCAGCATTTAATGAGATAAAGAAGAGAAGAAACAGTGGGGAGATACATAGTTGCTCCTTATTGTTTAGGGGCAGGGTGTGTGGCTGCAGACCACACAGAGCTGGGTGGAGCGTCTCTGCAGGATGGGTCAGAATTATGTAGAAATTGGGCGTGGCGGGTACTGAGCATGCTCATTAGCTGGTTGAAAATACCTGGATGATTTCCATTGTGGGCAAGGAGCCTGGCAGGACATACCCAGAGTCACCCTCTGAACGTGGAACCAAGGGGAGCTCAAGGGGAATGGGGAGGAGTGAATAAATAGGAGCGGGAGCCAGAGTGGGCTGGAAAACTCGGCAGTGGAGCAGTGGCTGGGGCAGGCTCCCTCGCCCCACCGGAGAAGAAGAGGGCTAGAACTGCTGCAGGCTGGACAAATTGCAGGCTGTTGCTGAAGAGACTCGAGGGACTATCGCTTGTTTCCTAACATTAAGGAGCTGGCGTGCCCTACAGACACCATCCTGCCTGAGACGGGTACGTCTGCCCAGAGAAGACACCTGGAGCAGTGGCTCTTAACTGTTCCAGACAACTGTACCCCTTTTCAGGACTCTGATTTGTCTTGCGAACCCCAAGTTGCGCCTCACTTAAAAACTCAGGCTTTGGCTTCAGCCCAACTCGGGCTTCAGGTTTTTGGCCTGGGCCCCAGCGAGTCTAATGCTGGCCCTGGCAACCCCATCAAAATAAACTAGTGACCCACTTTGGGGTCGCGACCCACTGGTTGAGAAGCGCTGAAAATATAGAGCAGTATAAACAAGTCATTGTCCGTATGAAATTTTAGTTTGTACTGACTTCGCTAGTGCTTTTATGTCAGGGCCGGCTCCAGGCACCAGCTGAACAAGCAGGTGCTTGGGGCGGCCAAGGGAGAGGGGCGGCACCTGCGGCAATTCGGGGGCGGCAGGTCCCTCACTCCCTCTAGGAGCAAAGGACCTGCCGCTGAACTGCCGCCGCCGATCGCGGCTTTTTTTTTTTTTTTTGGGGCGGCAGAAATGCTGGAGCCGGCTCTGTTTTATGTAGCCTGTTGTAAAACTAGGCAAATGTCTGGATGAGTTGATTTACCCCCGGAAGACCTCTATATACCCCCCAGGGGTATGTGTACCCCCTTGTTGAGAACCACTGACTTAGGGGAGTGTGTGTGGGAGTGCACGTAATTATATTTTGCAGTTGAACTTGATAGTAAGAAGCACTAAAACTTGGGAACCCCCTAAAATGTTTAAAAACTCGTTATTGACAATACTGACAATTGTTTCATGGGTTAAAGGTAAACAAATGCATGCACATTTATTGGTCTAGACATAGGCACAGCTTTAGCGAACGCTTTTCCCTTTAGAAATGTTGTCACTACGTCTCTCAGAGGTTTAACTCTGTGTAATGTCTATAAACACAGCTAGATCCTGAAAAGACAACCCTCTGATCTGGGCCACAGCGGAGAGGGAAGCTGCGATACAGGAAAGGGCAAGGAGACATTTTGCCTAAGCGCGCAGGGCTTTCCCCAAGCCAGTTATGCAAACACTGGGCCAAGCCGTACGAGTTTGCAGGATTGGGTTTGGTACAGTGAGTTATGCAGAATGCGGAGCGTAGCTCATTATCAGTAATTCAGTATTGTCAACCCAGAACATTCACAAATCGTGAGACTGGCCTAAAAAAGGTGCGTTTTATGTTAAATAACTAACGTTGGGGCTTTTTTTCTCTGCCTCCCGGCTTTGAGCCCTCAGGGTGTGCTTCTCAATCTTTTCCCTGCAGCAGTGAGGGAGAGAAGTGTACTTAAAAGACAGTTGAGCTCTCAGACGATCTCATGACTCCAGCAGCTGGGCCTTTAGGTGACTCACTAAAGATCCTGAGACTTGCTCTAGAGCTGGCAACCCTGAGCAGCAGTGTGACAGTAGCACTTGGAGAACACTCCAGCAGAGAGCAGGACCCCACCCCCCTAGTGAGAGACCCTCCCAGCCCAAAGAGCTTACCACCTAAATAGACAAGACGGGGGATGGGAAATAGAGGCACCGAGAGGGAAAGTGGCTTGCTCGAGGTCAGTCAGCTGGTCAGAGGCCAGGCCAGGAACAGAATCCAGGTGTCCTGGCTCTCAGGCCATTTTTTTTTTTACTAGTGTTACTAATAGTTTTTTTTTTTTATAAGATAAGCACAGCACTTGGTGCTCCTGGGGGGAACAGACAAACCCAGACACACATTAGCGCCACCTGGAGGCCAGTGGCACCTTAGTGCCTTTGTTTGACGCGCATCGGTCGACAGCGTGGGCGTGATTGGGCAAAGCACGTGCCCAAAGTGGGTGCGACTGGGCAGCCGTGTGTGCCGTCTCCGTGCTGGGGTTCACGATGGCACAAGGTGCGGCTGAGGACGCCGCAGGCCCCCGTCTCGGCCGTGTTAGCTTCGCCTTCCTGGTCCATTGTTTTAACGTCCTCCCCTGAGTCCAGAGCCGCTCGCTGCATTTGTGACACCCAGCGCCCCGGGCTCTCAAACCCTCCCGCCCTCCCAGGCCGCCCCAGGTTGGTGGATGGGCCGGACGGAGCCGGCCCCGGGCACTGCACGAAGGTCGTGGGGCCTCAGCGGCCGGGGTGCGTTTGATGATCTGATGGGGTCAGGGTGGCCCCAACCCCTGCCAGGCCACAATCCTCTTTGCTCCTGCGGCCACCTGCCGCACGGGCTGTGGGGGACCCGATGTCCTGGTTTTATAGGGACAGTCCGGATATTTGGGGCTTTGCCTTATACAGGTGCCTATTACCCCTCACCCCGTCCCGATTTTTCACACTTGCTGTCACACCGGATCGAACCAGAGCCTGGCACTCAAGCAGCTGCGGCACCGGCTGGCGCAGACTGGTCCCCGCAGCGGGCCAGCCACTAGGTGGCGCAGCGCCCCCCACCGCGCAGCGTGCGCACAGATCCACACGGGGGCAGCACCAACCGTGCCTGAACCTCCCCGGAGCTGCGGAGCCGGCTCCAGACACGCTCCGGCTCTGCCGCTGCACGGACACCCCCGGCCGGCCGGACACGTGTGTGCTGCGGCCGAGACTCCTTTCGGAGCGGGGCCAACAGCCGCTCCCTCCTGCCTGCCCAGCGCGGGCTCGGCCGCACCGGGCGCCGCTCCTTCGGAGTAAGTTGGTGTGTGTGTAAATGTGGCCGGGGGGTCTGTCCTGCAGGCTGGGGCTTGAAGCCAGTGCTCTGGAGTGGGGGGTGAGGGGCTATTACATCCTTCCCCTGGCCTGGCTGGGAGCTTCTCCCAGCGAGGGGGAGGATTGTGTGGATGGCGAGTGGTTTGGAGACACCAAGTCAGCCCCTCTCCCGAGGGCAGGGCTGGAGGGCTACTCGAAGGGGCTACCAGACCCTGTCTGGTCTAAGTCCCAAGCCCCCTGAGGCTGATCAGACCCTGCTGTCCTCTGTGGGGAGGTGCCCAGGTTTCTGGTGAAGCAAGTGGCTGGTTCCCCCATCTTAGCCGTCCAGCAGGGATGGAGCCGGGGTGAGCTACCGTCACGCGGGCGGGCATTGGGCAGTTCTGGGCGTGGGTGCGGCGTGGGGGGAAGTTGGCACTGGCGGGACTGAGGCCGGCTGCCCGGGCTTGGCTGGATCTGTGGGAGGGGGCATGAGGCGGGGGTGGTCTGCCTAGGGGGAGCGTGGCTGCGGGCAGGCTGTAGGCTGGCATCATAGAATATCAGGGTGGGAAGGGACCTCAGGAGGTCATCTAGTCCAACCCCCTGCTCAATCCCCAACTAAATCATCCTGTCTGATGGTCTGTCTTCCGCCTCAAACCGCCTCGTGCGGCTGGGGAGTTTGGCCAGGCGAGTGGCCCCCCACGGACGGTTTGCTGGGTTCCCCAGCCAATCCCTTCTTGCAGGAACCTTGGTCAGAGTCCCTGGCTGCTGATCTTCTCCCGCAGCAGAGTGAGGGCGGGCGCTGGAGAAATGGCTCATAGGCTCCACGCGCCGGGGGCCAGAGCAGGTTTGGGCTGAGATGGAGAGACAAAGATGGCTCTGAGTCCGCCCCCTCCAATTCCACAGTGCTCTGCCCTGCAGGCTGGAATGCGCTGGGCACTGCCACGATCCCCAGTCTGTGCCCTGGACCTCCCTGATTCCTCCCCTCGGTAGGAAGGTCCCACTCCCCCGTGGCTGACCTGGCAAGGTGTACGGCTCCTGTGGTACCATAACGGCCACTCTGCTATTATTACGCTTGCAGTGAGGTCCTGCCAGCCCAAGAGCAGCGCAGGGAGCTGTACATGAGCACCCTGTAAGGATACGGGTGTATCACAGAACTGTTGCCTTGTGGTGGGACAGGCAGCATGGCCCGGGGGGGTGGGGGGGGAGAACTGGGAGCGTTGGCCCTGCGCCTGACTCACTCTGGCACTAGGCAAGTCACTTAATGTTTTTGTGCCTCAGTTTCCCCCTCTCTGAAATAGGCTCCTCCCCTCCCCCTTGTGATGTGTGGTTGAAAAGCGCTTGGGGTGATGACCAAGGGGTTGGACAGTTTGCACCATCAAGGCACTCTGCAAACGGTGCCAACGCCGGGATGGTGCATCCTCTGCGGAGGTGAGTGTAGCTGGCCCTGGCCCTGTCCAGGGGCGGGGAAAGGCGTGAGATCCACCAGTCTCAGGGCTAGTGGCTGCTAAACCGGCCCTGATCACGGTGTAGCCAAGGCACCTTTGCTGGTTCATTGCACCCCCACCCACTGGGACTATCGTGTCGTCAGCAAGCTCGTTTCTGGACAGTTGTGCGCTTTGTCTTAGCGGCTTTAACGGCAGGGCGCATCTGCCGCGGAGTCTCTGACACACCCCGGCCACCACCTAAGCTGTGAGGAATGGGATTCAGGCCCTTCTGCTGCAGAAACACAGGCACCTGTCCCTCACGCCTTGCCAAAGTGTCTCATTTAAATAGGGCCCTAGGTGGTGGGTCAGTCTTTGGCCCCTTAATCTACCCCCCTCCTCAATCCCAGAGGCAGGACGATATCGTCTCTCTCCATCCCCAGTGTGCACACTCCGCCTTCCTCCTCTTCTTCCTCTCCCTAGCCTGCTTGCTGGGCTCCAGTGTGTGGGCTCCCCATGGCGCCGGACAGAGTTTTCCCCAGGGGTGCTAGCTGGCTTCCTAAATCTTCTAGGGCACCCTGTGGTCTTCCCAAGAGAGGGGAACTCTGATTTCAGCGAGGGGGGGTGGCGCCATGGCTGAAGGTAGATCCAGCTGTGGGGCTGGGCAGGAGCCCAGGGTGGACGGAGTGGGGACGGGGTGCGGACCACCTGGCGTTATTGTGTAAGGATGTGGGGTGCAGGGCAGGGGGGAACAGCCTCTCTCCCCACCAGTCGCTTACCTGGCTCAGCAAGCTTGTGCTGCCACCTTGGGGTTGGGGTCCAGGTTCCTAGGCCAGCATCTATCCATCCATCCGTCCGTCCCTCCTGCACGCATCACCATGGTACCGGAGCGTGCCTTGCTCTCTAGCGCCCCCTCTGGCTCAGCGTGATGTGCTGGCAGATATGCTCCAGGCAGAGGGGGCGCTAGAGAGCATTACACGCCCAGATACTATGGCAATGGGGGCAGAGCCAGCCCTCCTGGCGTGCATCCAGGATGCAGAGTCAAAGGTGGCAGTGTGTGGGAGGGGCAGGAGATGGTGCTTGGGGTCCTGGGGGGGCTGTAATGAGGGGCAGTGGAGTGGACGATAACCATACATTGGGGAAGGCGGATAGCGGGGAGATGTAGGAATGGCCAGTGGGGGTGTTTCCCAGAGCCCTGGGCCTCTCTCATTGCTATAGCCAGACTGGAGGGCTGTATGCAACTAGGGTGACCAGATCACAACAGTGAAATATCGGGACACATTGGGGTGCTGTCAGCCCCGCCCACAGTCCAACCCTGCTCCTCCCAGGCTCCGCCCCCACTCTGCCCCAGGTCCTGCCCCCTCTTGGCTCCCCCCCGCCACCGTGCCCTTCCTCAGTCCCCCACCCACCGCTCACCTCCTCATTCCCTCCCGCCTGCCTGCCCGCCTCTTCAACCCCCCAGCCCGCTGCTGGTTTGCCACTCGTCTTTTCACACACCCCCGTGCTACAGCGCCGACTTTCCCTCTTCCCGGTGGGTGCTCGTCCGCGCCCTCTCTTCCTGCCCCTGCACTGCCCTCGCCCCGCCCCCTTCCCCCCCCCTCCCCCCAGTCCCCCCCCCCGCCCTGCCTCTTCTCCGCCTCCTCCCCTGAGCGCACCGTGTTTCCACTCCTCCCCCTCCCTCCCGGAAAGTCCAAAGCGCCTCCAAACAGCTGTTAGGCGGCGGGAAGCGCTGGGAGGGGGAGAAGGAGGCGAGGAGGGGGGAGCTTGGCTGCCGGTGGGTGCAGAGCACCCACTAATTTTTCCCCGTGGGTGCTCCAGCCCCGGAGCACCTACGGAGTCGGCGCCTCCCCCCCACTCGCCTCTTTACCTGGATATGGGGACAAATGGCGTCCCGAGCATACATCGATCGGGACGCGGGACAAAGGATTAAGTATTGGGACAGGCCTGATTTTATCAGGACATCTGGTCACCCTATATGCAACTGAGGTGCCAAGCATCCTGTTGTGGTACATGCAGTATCTTGTGTGAAACCTGGGGTGGATTTTTCAAGGCTCTCTCTTCTCCTGTCCCGGGAGAATTTGCAAGATTTTGAATTTTTTCCTGGCCCGAATTGGGATCAAAATCAAAATCTCAAAAATTTTCACAAACCGAGAAAAAAAATCAGTTTGGGTCAGTGGAAATGTTCTGTTTTGATCATTTCAAAATGGTTCCTTTCATTTTTGATCTTTTCTCTCTCTTTTTTTTTAATCTTTTTTTTAGTCTAAATTTACTAAAATTTTGAACCAAAAAGTAATTTCAACTTGAAAAGCCAAAACTCTCTGAGCTGAAAACATTGAAATGGGACATTTGGACAATTTCAGAGAGATTTTTTCCACAAATGTTTTGTGTGGGGAGATGGGTTGAAACTGACCCTCTTTCACAAACAGCTTCAATTCTGACGAACCCACATTATTTTTTGCCAGAAAAGAGCAGTCAAAAAATTCCCAACCAGGTGTACTCCTGAGTTCGAAGCCGGCTCTGCTGCGGACCTAACTTTGAACCCTTGGGCAAGTTGCTTCACCTGCCCATGCCTCAGTTTCCCTATTGGCAAAATAGGGCTGATGATGCTTGCCCCCCTTCGTAGAGCGAGTGGAAGATCTGTAGATGAGAAGCGTAGTTATTTATTAAAAAGCAGCGATGCCTAGCGGTTGCAAAAGGCTGGTGCCCCATTGTGCTGGGCGCTGTATAAATGCATAGTAAAGCTTATGGAGCTTATGAAGTGCCAGCACATTGGACAATAACAGATCACAGGCTGAAAGTGATTTTGAGTATATACAGTAGCTGCAATGTGATAGCGAGCTCGGTTATGCCTTTGCACCCTCCGGGTGTACAGCGCGGGAGCAAAAAGCCAGTGCCAACACAGGCCGAAGAAAGGTGACTGGATCTCTGGTGACTTCCTGAATGCGATTGTTGCTTGTACCCACTGTTAACAAATGTGGCTAACAGGTTGCAACATGCATGATTGCATCCCCTGGGCTGTTGAAAGCTTAACCCAGAGGTGGAAGGGCAGGATGGTTTTGTAGTTAAAGAATTGGCTTGACTGTGCTGAAGTAGGGATTCAATTCCTCGTCCTGCCTCATGCCCTCTCTGCACTGCCTGTAAAATGGTAATACCGTAGCTGTATAGACTGTTAGTTCTTTGGGGCAGGTGCTGTCTCTTGTCATATGTCTGCGCAACACCTACCACTGGGTACTACAGAATCAGTCTCTCTTTTGCCTCTTATTTAATACTGAGGACTAGCTCGAGACTGATTCTATAGCCAGTGGTGAGGGCAGTCCCTGGGGGCACTGGAGACTCACATTTGAGCCCAGATCCCATGTGAATGTCGTGGCCTCCTGGTTATTTTCTTCTTGCCCAGAAATTCACCCTGGACCTGAGACACCTTCCCAGGGAAAGTCTTGTGGCCAGCGACAGGTTTTTACGGCAAGTTTTGATTTTGACAAATAGTCATTTTCTGTCCAATAATTCCAGACTGCCTGTGCATTTCCCAGGGGCTGTGGGGTTAGCTCTGGGGTCTGGCCACCTTCCAGCTAAGGAATGGT